ATTAGTAAGTAGTGTGTGTGTGTGTGTGTGTGTGTGTGTGTGTGTTGGGGGGGAGTGTATTCAAAAATTTTTGCTCGTTATTTATGTTATTTGTATATCTGTAATTAAAATTAAGTAATCAGTTATAAAATATTAATTAAATTTGAAGCAAAGAAAACACATTTTTGTTTAAATTTCAATTTTTATTTCGCCTTTTGTAATTATAAAATAATTTCCGCTATTTCAAATTTTTCCACACACAAATCTCAAAAGAAAAAAAATTCAAAAGACAAAAAACCAATCAAAAATATTGCGGTTGTTCTAATTAATTCCCTCTGAACTTTTCAACTCGAGAATATAGAACCTTTTATATATGTAATTCAAAGTGAGTTAGAGCACAACTCCTTTTTCCAAATGAATAAATTATAAAAGTAAATAGCTTGCAAGGTATTGCTCATCAGTCTCGTAATACTACTTTATTCAATCATATTACTCTATTCAGTCAATTCAAAACATCATACTAATCATTGAAACGAAATATTTATATATATAAATTATCTATTTTAAATAAATAATATTGTTAATGTTTACTCTTCCTCATTTTTCTTATTAAGATAGAAAATTTTTTTTATTTCGTGTACGTTTTAAATTTTAGAGATTGCAGAACAACGAAGAAATATAGCAAATTTGGCAAAGCGCATATCATACTTACTCATGCAAAATTATGTAACAAATATTTGATGAAAATAGATATGCCAAAAAATACATAATTATACAATATATTTTTACTAATTTTATTATGCAAATTAAAATTACAGAATTAATTAATTTATTGAGTTTTATGGCATAAGAGATTATTTTTAAATTATTAATTATAAGAATATAATATCAATAATTTTATAATAAATATTTTTAGATATACATATATTGTATAAAGGAAGCATTACACAAGGTATTAAAAAGAAGAAAAATTCAATGCTCGCTCATTCGTGGACATGTATTATTAAATTAATAATTTTTTTTATTATTATATGAAAATCGCAACAGGATTTTTTTCATAATCTGCTCAATTTGCTCACGAGAGATAATACGGTTGTTACCAATCATCCTATATGTAAGTGACTTCACATATACAAGAAAATTTCAATATATTACATTTTCTTTTTCAATATTAATTCCTATTTCAATATTAATTCCTATTTCAATATATATTTCTTCATTCCAATGTATTCTAATCATCTTGAAGAATAATTCGTTAAATATAAAAAGAGAAATGTTTCAATCGTATAAACCATAAAACTCTCCAGTAAGTAAGTCAATAAAATAACGAATGTGCTCAAATATCGAGTAATAAAAATAAAATTTATTTGTAGAAGAGAAGGATAACGTACCTTGTAACCGAGGTAGGCAAGTAGCAAAGCCTCGGTTAACGATACCATAGCCAAGATCACTTGGACAACCCATAACTCTAAGGGTCTTCTGACCCACAGGATAGCGTCCCAATTGATGGTCGGGTGCTCCTGAAACTCCTCCTCTGTCAAGTTCTGCGACGCAAGAAACTCGGTCTTGTTGCCGGGTGTGCAACCGTAACTAAAAAGAAATAGAGAGAAAGAAAGGTATAAGTGACAGATGAGTGTGTGGATAGGGAGGGACAGATTGTCGCACGATATTTGGTGTGCACAAATCGGACGAGTTCGATAGGTTTTCGATATCAAGTACGTCGTTTGGACTGCGTCGAGGGATCATTGTCGCATGAAAAGAATAAAAAGGACATAACATCAAATGCGAAAAAAAATTTATATAACCGATCGGGAACTTTTTTTATTAAAATTTTTTTGCCTCTACATAAAATTTATTTATCGGATATCTTTACTAAGATTGCCATTTCCGTTAGTGACAATTTTTTCAAAATTTTATTAAAATATAATTATAAAATTATTTTAAGTATTAACAAATTTTAATTTTCTTTTAAATGTTATAAATGAACGATAAGAGAAAATTATATCATAATAAAAAATATATTAAAATAAAATTAAATTTTTGAATTCATCTAAAAGATTTAACAATAAAAATTACAATTTTGAAATAAATGATTTATCTAATATTATTAATATATTTTCATATTTTTAATAAAATAATTATTTTTATTATAAAATATTAATTACAAAAGATAATAATGGCGTACTGTACAAAATATTCATATCAAGTATTGATTAAACATTAATTAATAAAATTATATAAAGAAATCAAAAATAATCGTAAAAGTATCATCATTTTCACATATATAAATAACAACACATTGCACCGTATCTGTTGTACTGTCTTATCTGCGTTTTATTCTAAGCCATGATAGGAGTGCTGTATAATATCGTAATTGTGTATGAATATCGTGTTGTTTACATGCAAATTTCTTTTTACAGAGATAAAATTTTTCTGGAAATCGTTCCGTCGGCGATGAAATGGAATGAAACCAAATGAAACAATTTCTTTATTTTCAGCCTTCCCCAGTTGCAGTTAGTGCTACCACATAGGATAGTCCAGATTTATATTTTCTTTTATTCTAAAATTTTGTAGTACAATATTGTCATAAATATATTTTTATTTTTAATCAAAATAAGACAATTAATAGTTTCCGTATCAACAGCAATTTAAAATATTTGAGTTTTTTAGTCAAATAATTCATAATTTTAAAAAATAATGAAAAAACTGCAACATTACATATACTATACTATAAAACACATCATTTATTGCTCATCAAGAAATAAAGCAAATAATATATAAAGTTATGTAATAAATACTAAAAAAATAATAAATTAGATTATAAAAAATTATAAAATAACAATCTTAAAGTATTTCAGAAAGTCAAATACATTACTGTAATATTTGAGTTTATATTATAAAATTGTTATCAAATGCATACGTAAATTTTGCAAATTTCATGTTTCCAAGTTTCGTTTAAAAGATTTTATTCAAATATTTAATATAGCTTACCATGCTGCGAACGTTGGATCGTTGTCCGTAATAACTCTGAATATATACAGAAAGCATGTTAAAAGCTTGAAGAAGAGATTGGCAAGTCGTATCCTCAAGCCTGAAAAATAAATTTTATTTCTTTCTTATAATTTTTATATTATCTTTATTTAATTTACATCTCTATTATATCTCTATTATAATTTATTTTACTTTTCATTTTCTTTTTTCATTAAATAATTTTGTAATTTTTGTAATTTGTAATTTTACATATTAGTTTTCTAGTTCACTTTTCTTTTAAAAATTAAATTATAATAAAATAAGTTTTAATTTCTATTAAATTTATGCCAAAATAGATTTTTCCAAAAAGAACCGAAAAATTTTTTATATGATCTAACATCGATAAAGTTTATGTACAAATATTTTCTAAAGAGTTTTCAACAGTGTTCTTTTAATATATAAATATTTTTAAAAGATATTAATATCTTTCTTTCCAATGTCTTTATTTTAAAATAATTAAATCTAATACTGAATATTCTTCTTCAGTTATAAATTCAGAAAAAAAGTATTTAATTAACAACGACTAATGCTGCAAAAACTTATTTTTAAAATATAAAATGTTTACAATTTTTTAAAAATTTAATAATTTTTAATAAAAATTTTATGAGTTAAAATAATTTAAAAAAATATATTCCCTAGAAATTTAGAATAGCTAGAGTTCAAAATAATAAAAACAAAAAGATTGTTCTTTAATATATACATGGTACTGTATAATATACACATATATTATGTAGCACAATAAATAAAAAAAACTGTATTGTATTATATTTATTTATATGTATTGTATTTATATGTATTGTATTTATTTATAAGTTTAGAAAAATTGTGTAATATATTAAGGATACGCTAACAGTAAGACCTAAATTGTGGGTTACTTTAAGCTGAATATCAATTCTCCGAATTTTGACGAGATGTTTCAACCAGTTACCCACGACAAACTTCACAAAGGGCAACAAAGCGTTGACCTGTTGGGTTCACGAGGTCCTAATGCATAGGTCAGGTACAAAGGTCAACATCGACAAGAAAAATTTGTAGTAGCACAATATCTATTATCGGTTGTCGTCATCACATCTCCGAAAGAGCACGCTCGTGCTCTTTCGGAATATCCGCAGGATGATGATAACAATATCCTTAAGATTGCCTTTGGAACGACTTTGCCATTTCGAAAGGAAGCAATCGGGATTACTTCGCGGCATACGCGGAAAAACGTTGACGACAATGCAGCTATTTCTGACGACAAATTTGGTAGAAATATAACAATGATACGACAATACCGATAGGTTATCTCGAAAATAACATCGTTATTTTTTTTATCGAAAATATTCTTATCTCCGTACCTTGTTATCATTTTGAATTTAGTATCAAAAGATATATATAATATTTTATAATATATATGTTCATATAATTAATAAAAAAATTTAGAAAGTTATATAAAAATATATAAATAAAACATGACATATTTTAATAGTGTCATTATATTTCGCGTGTTACAATATAGTGTAGAATATAATAGTGCTATCAAATAGCGTGAGATAGAATTGTAGATATGAATTTATACGATCTCTCCATCTTACCCTTCTTTACAATTTAATGTGATGTGTTGTATTATATGTATGTTCATATGTTTAATTGTATGTGTACAATATCAAATACATGATAAATAAATGATATATCATGTTCGTGCTCACGTATAGAAAAAAAACAATTTTATAATAATTGTGACAATTATGGCAATCTTTCATCGCGAAAATATAGAACAAAATAGAAGAACAAAATAGAATTCTTTAAAATTTAAATTTAATTATATATTATTTTAATTATATATTATATATTATATATTATATATTATTATATATTTTTATAATTGAGGATGTAAATTGTAGCAATATGTGAGAATTACAAAATCTTTCACTTTATAATAGAAACTTTTTGTAAAATATTTAAAATATTTAAAATATTTAAAATATTTAATTTATTATAAATACAAATAATTAATCTTTACTCACTCGAACGTTGATTCTTAATGAAGTACAGCTGTAGACGTTCCTTGAATGTGTTCTCGTTCACATAATACTCAACGCGAACTCTGAAAGCAGATATACAACGGTATTATTGTTAACTGGATATTCCGCAAACTTTTCGAAAATGTTAATGATGTTATCTAACTAACACAATGTTCAACTATGGCATTCAATAATTTTAGTAAATTCCATATATTGTTGTTCATTATATGTTATACATTGTAACGTATACAACTGCTAATAATATATATCGCAATTCTTCTTTTTATTTTTCTCACAATTCTTGTAATAAATTTTATGGTGTTCTTATATATAAATTGATATTTATGTATACAAATATGATATATAATATCATGTAATATCATGAGGAAATATTTATTCAACATAAAAGAATTTGTTGGCAACCGATAACTATTATGAGATTAAAACATTGATAAAAAATTTCGCTATATTATTAGGTTCAGATGACTAATTGAACAACGCAGTATGCTACATATACGCTGTTCAAATTCTCATTATTACAATCTAGTCTAGTATTGTATCCCACGAGTCATTTCCGTCCAGCATTATAGAGCAACATCTCTGTAAGATCTATTATGGAAATTAATGTTGGCTATAACGTAAATTATACGATAGCTCAACATCTAAAGTATAGCTTCAACAAAAAGTTTATTATATATTTATGTTATACATTAGACATTTCTCGAACAGTATGAAAAATTTAATCTACACACGTTTATTCATTTACTAAATAATTTAAATTGTGTACAATGTTTAAAATTTTAATGCAAAATAATTTTAAAAATAATTTTACATATACAATTTAAAAGCAAAAAATATATAAGTTATTTATGTAAATATGTAGTTAATATAATATAAATATAATATAAAAAAATTGATAATTAAAATATGAAATATTTTCTCTATCATTTTTAATAATTGATTTTAACGATCATTCAGTCATCATATTCATTTGTGTACTTCCAAATTGTACTTCAGGTCAAAGAATGGAACGAAGAGCGTGCAACGACCTTCGTTGTTATTATTGTTAGTACTGTAGCAAGGCAAACAGGTCAATTTTATTCGACAGGTCGGCTGTCATTTTGCGCACTTGGTGCACCGCTGCAGTTCTTATTTTTAGCCGCGGTAAATGCGTTGGCGTTGCGCCGAGAATAGCGTCGCGTGACGTCACCGGGCCGGCGTCGACAGGCGGTCTGTCGTATGCTATCGTTCCCAGTTGTTGAACTGGTTCTTTGACCCACATAACGTCACGAATGCCTGACCTAGGCTATCCGTCCTCGACAAACGCGGAAAGCTGATGGAAAGAAACGATGCCGATCGAGATGGAAGAGATGGAGAGCCAACTGTTTGACTTCGCGCACTCTCACACTTAAAGAGATAAATTAAAAATTTTCTGAACACACCGATAGATATTTTCATGATGACATTTGTAATCTACGTTATATAAAAAATTAATTATTTAGTATCTTTTTATAAAACTGACAATAAGTTTTATAAAATAATGTCTAAAATACCGAGTATTCTAAACAAGACAAATAAACAAGGATAAACAAGAATTAATATATTAGCTATTTTATACTTCAAAAAATCAACAGAAATTTTTATAAAATAATTTAATTATTTTTATACACCTAATAAACATAACTAATGGTTTGACAAAACAAATCAAAAGTTTGCTGAAGTTTTTTTGGAAGACAAGTTTAATAGTAATTAATTTGCAAATTATTTTTTATATCTTGTCACAATAGTTGTAATAAGATTATAATAGATTATGCTATCTCATATTCAACATATCGTTTTTTTTTTCAGTTTACTACTCTATATTTCCTGATAAGCTTTATAGTGGCAATTTTGCTGATGCTTTATCATTCGTATATCAATTTATTTATATTTATATTTGTATTCGCCCTATATCTCAATGCATAACTTACTAAATAAATAATAAATTAAATTAAATTAAATATTGATAGAAAATAGAAAATTTCTGATTTTTAATAAAAAATTGGCATGTGTTTAATATTATCGACGTAAGAGAGATATATATGTATAACTACATCTCATAATCATTGAACTTAAAAAAAATCTAATGGAAAGAGACATATATCAATATATTCCGCCAATTTGAATATTCTATAAAATATTGTGTGGAGCGATGCAATTGTGAAAAATTGTCGAGTTTGAATGATTTGACAAGAATACAAATCCTCCATGGAAGCTATTGATTCTATAAGCGAAGATAGAAAGCGAAATGTATCAATACCACTCGAGTTTTGCACGCGGATATCGCCGCAGTCTCCACGATGTGTAATTTAACGCGATCAGCCGTGTAGATGGAAAAAACATGTTTAGTGAGCTGTGAGTAATGCCACTGACAAAATACGTAGACTGGTGCAACCAATGTTTCCACTTCGAAGATACTTGAACCGAGAGAACGCGTTTACGCTGTTACGATTGAACTCATAATTTTTGTAGATAAGTTTTTTTGCAATCAGATTAGAAATATTTTCTAACTATAAAAATTCGTTAAAACCAAAATAAGGAATGGAAAAATTAAATTTAGATAAAAATTAAATTTAGAATCCTTGAATCCAAATTGAATCCATAATGTTCATATACATGGGAAACTTTTAGTACAAATTAATAAAAATACCATTATAATAATAAAAATACCATTATAATAATTAAAATATTAAAAAAAGGGAAAAATAAAAAATGATAAAAAAGTTTATATTCAAAGCGATTTAGTTATTTTAAATGATATTACTATATTTAAAAAAAGTCTCAGATTTGTCATCATTACTTAAACGGCAGTTCTTTAGGCTAAGAAGTTTATAAATCATAGTGTTAATAACCATCAATTAATCGTCATTTGAGATTGTTGCTTCAATGCAGCGACAAATCGAGAATGGTAACGACATACTGCATCGTCAGGATATAATTGACAGCTTCATTACGACGCCGTTTCTAATTACATCGCATAGGGATGTGGATTCGCAGAGATCGTCAGCGATTTCCAATTGAAATTGCGTTCTGGGAATCACGAGTGACATTTGCGAGCCGCATTAGACTTCCCATCGGGTATACGGTAAAACCAATGCAACTCATCTCATTGAAGAAAATGATTGCAAAAATCTAAATCAGTCTAAATAAATCCATTGTTTCTTATTAAAGTATTAAAAATAACTTAGATTCAAAATAATAAAAATCAATTTTTACACAAATTAAAATCTTAAGTATGTTGCATAAGAAATTTTTATTATCAATTATTTTAATATATCTTCATAAATAATATAAATAATATAAAATCCATATATAATATCAACATTGCATAAATATGATAAAATTTTTCATATAAATGTTTCATATATATATATATATATATATAAATAATTATATATAAAATATAAATATCAAATCACAATATCAAAATGGATTTTGTATAATAATTTTTCATCTAATTTGCCAAAAAATATTTTAATATATAATAGTTTTATCTATTTATTTAACACTGTAATATTATTGCAATCATCATAACATTGTTTTGACTTACAAATTTCTTCTAAGTTTAATATCCAGAGTTTAATTTAATTATTAATCTGAATCATATTGTGCTTAATTATTTGTGTAAATTAAACTAAAATAACTACTAAATATCAGAAAGACGAAATAGAAATAAATTTCATTTGTAACTTAAATTACATCTGGATGTGACTTGAGTAAATTATTATTATTAATAATTCTTTGTATGTGTTCAATCATAACCATGTAGCAAAAAGTGATTAAATGAACAATTAGGTTCAGTTAAATTAAATTTATAATTATATCTATTGAATTGCGGATTAATATGCATTATTGCCTCAATAAAGCCATTTTCGCGTGTGATCAAAGGAAATAAGATTAAACTGAACAAAGCAAAATATTTTAATTTTAATAAACCAAATGTTTATATTGTCTGAATTTGATCATCATAATAATCATAATAAAAGATCAATAAAAGATCAATCAATATAAATGTTAAGAAATGTGGCTTCGATTTTTCCACAATATATACCTATACTACATTTATAAACATAAATTTATTATTACATAATTTATTATTAAACATGACTAATAATATCAATAATTATGATATCAATCAATTTAATAATTAAATAACACGTAAAGAGAAAGAAATTTCAGTCTCGAATTAATTTTTATTATTATTAAGAAAACTAAACTAGAATAACTAAAATACTTAATATATCGTAACAAATAAATAAAATAATAAGATAAAATTGTTAAATAAATATATAATATTTATTTTGTTTCCTCTATTTATTTTCTCTTAAGAAATAATCTCTTTTAGAAAAAAAACTTTCCGCTCTTCTTCTTCATTCACCATATATTATATGTTATTATTGGTGGTATTATTACCTGTAAATTTTCTAATTAATTTTTATATATATTCATATATAAATTTATTGATAAATATATTTTTTAACTTTAGTTTATTGCTTTCATTTTTCAATTTTAGAAACATTATTAATTCTCGAATTCACTACATGGTTTTTACTCATACAAGTTTTAGTAAATCTTTTAAATATTGATTTCAAGTAATTATAAATTATATTTATATAATACATATACACGTTTTATTCGTATAATAATCAAATATAATTTCAAATTTTCTATATTATAAAATATAATTTATTTTTACGAGAAAATATTCCAAACTAAATATTACTAAATTTATTATCCTTGAGTTATTATTAACCTCCATTTCATGTGCACCAATTAATAATATTAAAATATTTGATGTGGAATAAACTGTAATTGCCGATTGATTAAGCTCTTGATATGAAAACAAAAGGCACATAGACAATTTCGGTCTTTTGCCTCTCAAGGTATATTTAATTCATATAAAAAGTAACTATTTTTTACTAAGATTATTAACAATATATAAAATTTTATTGTTCTTATTATATTATTTAATGTAATTTAATTAATTAATATTTATAATTAATATTTATATCCAGTTTTATATATATGAATTAGTAATGATATT